GGTGTACCTAATAAAGTGGCCGGTGAGTGTATATATATATATTGGTGGGGGGATCAATAAAGTATTTTTGAATTGAATTGATATATATTTTAACAAAAACTCTGTCATCTAAAAGGTCAGATTTGACGTGCAGGTATGTAAAAACAAATCAAGTCTCTTCTCAGTCCTAAAGTCTTCAGGTGTCGAGTTTGTTTTGTAAAGTTCAGTTTCAGTTCAGCTGATTCTCCAACTTCAGGACTGAGAAGAACTGAACGTTCAGTCAACCTGAAGCTGTTGAACTTACAGGTTTAGGGTTCGATRAGTTGAAAACGAGAGTGAAAGAGTGACTGATTAGAAAACTTTCACTCTATTAGAAAAAGAAAGCTTCTCATTATGTCACATTTAAAAACAATGAAGTAAAGAAGCTGTAACTGGATTGGAGGATAAATCACAGTGAATATGAAGGAGATTATCAGRTGTTTCACTTCCTTTCATGTTTTTCTACAAACCCTAAAACCTCTGAGTTTCCTCTGCAGCAGCAGCAGCAGCCTGGCTGTTWGTTTCCTGCAGCCCTCGCTCTGCTCTAGAACCATAAACTGATGTTACAGGTGTCAAAATGTAGAAATGAATACAAAATATAGATTTATTGCCACAGCTTTTTAGCCTTGACTCTGTTGTAGTTTGAGTTGGAACTCATCATCATCATCATCATTCCCAGAATGCATTGCATCAGTAACAAAATGGTGACATGCTTCAGTGAAAAATGTAATAAATACATAGAAATTTTAAAGTAATAAAATGTTTTCCCGTGTCACAGAGATCAACTTTTAGTAGAACAGAGAGATAACAACATATTAAGGCCAACATGTGACAGTTTTTATTTTTTAACGGTTGAGCTCAGATTCAGGTTTTCATTTCATCAGATGGAGAAAAACAACCTGGTTATGTTCTTGCTTCTTTAGATGAATTATCTTTTTAYATGTTTAATGTTGCGTAAGGGAAGTAAATGAATCAGATGTTCTTGAATTTTGATGGAATCTTCTTTACATTAAATTCTCTTATTTCTCTTCCAGCTGGTTTTGAAGCAACAACATCACCAGAGATTACATATCCTTCAGCCAGTGAGAGTGAGGAGGTCGAACTCGGTAAATCTGTTTATATTGTGTGCTACTTAAAGAGTTTTAAGAGCTAACTTGTCATTCAGAGAGTCTCAGATACTGTTTTTATATTTATTTGTTTATTTATTTATTTATTTTTTTCTACCAAGTTTCTGTCGGTTCTATTCTTAATCGTCTTATTTACTTACCTCCTTCATTAAAAACATTTTAACCTGTTCCAGGTCGGCCCCACAGCCTAATGTGTAAGGCTTATTTTGATTTTGAAGTTGACGTTTCACGGGATGTGAAGTGGTTTGTGAATTACGGCGGCGACATGAGGAACACGACTCCCCTCCACATGGAGACTGCTCAGTGAGTGGACAGGTGTGTGAATGCAGCTCYGTGGTAAAGAGCACAAAGAGCACCTGTTTTTGTGTTTTTAGAGAGAAGCAGTTACTGAATAAAAAGGTCGAGGTCGTCCAGAGAGCCACTATCAGAGAAGTCACGACTCGGCATTTGAACCACACCTACACCTGCGTGGCCAGGAACGCCGTCGGAAACAGAAGCGTCACGATCGTACTGAAGCTCAGAAAACAAGGTATTAATGGAGTTAAACTCCGCCCACACACCAGCTCTGTCAATCACAGTTAGGACAAGCTCCGCCCACACACCAGCTCTGTCAATCACAGTTAGGACAAACTCCGCCCACACACCAGCTCTGTCAATCACAGAACAAACTCCACCCACACACCAGCTCTGTCAATCACAGAACAAACTCCGCCCACACACCAGCTCTGTCAATCACAGAACAAACTCCGCCCACACAGTCAAACTCCTACATGCTGCAGAAAC